GTGAGGAGCAACTGGTCTGCTGACCTCAGAGAACGTGGTGGGACATATGGCTGTAGCAGATGGGGGGGCAAAACTGTTCAGCGATTTGTAGACATGCAGGAGTATTTTGAACTGGATTCGAAGGTGAACCGGTAACCAGTGCAGTGAGGCCAAAACTGGTGTAATGTGCTCTCTTTTGCCTGTACTGGTAAAAAAAAATCGGGCTGCTGCATTCTGGACCAGTTGTAGTCGTGCAATGGAGGTCTGACCGATACCAAACAGGAGTGAATTGCAGTAATCAAGTCTAGATGTAATGAATGCATGTACTACTGTCTCCAGGTTCTTTTTGGACAATATGGGCTTCAGTTTAGACAGCCGCCTCAGTTGGAAGAAGCATGATTTAACAATCATGTTTACATGATTGTTAAGTTTCAGGGAAGGGTCCATTATCACTCCCAGATTAGTGACTCTTTGTTTTTCTGACAGGGTTAGAGTGGAAAGGTCGATGCAGTGGTTTGTGATCGTGTCGTTGGGAGGGAACAACATGACTTCAGACTTCTTTTCATTGAAACTTAAGAAGTTTAAAGCCATCCAGTCCCTGATGTCAGCCAGGCAGTCAAGCAGAGGTTGAATAGAGCATGTGCAATTGTGTCTTAGGGGGAAGTAAATTTGACAGTCATCAGCGTAGAAGTGAAAGGGTATGTTGTGTTTCCGGAAAATAGCACCAAGTGGCAGCAGGTATAGAGAGAATAGGAGAGGACCCAGGATGGACTGCTGCGGAACCCCCCATTTAAGCTCTGCCTCTGCGGAACTAAAATCTTTGATGAAGACACAAAAGGATCCGTCAGTGAGGTAGCATATATTATACATATCCTTTGTTATTATCTTTAATTCAGTGGAAAACTATGAAGCAGGAAATGTTTTGAAAAAGAGCATTACAATATCTACAGTAAGTAAAAAAAAATCATTGTAGCAGACAAATTTTATGGGTGTGGGTGAAGAAAAAAATGGAACTGGGTGGACCTCGAAGGGCGAATGACCTAAATCATTTTCAATGTTTCAAATGACATATTATATCTTCTTAAGAAGTAGCTTCTTACTTCTATACTGGCCACCATTAGATAAATAAATAATTAATTATTGCTGATGAGGATAATATTTTAAGACCACTGTTTTATTCTAAGGCACTAACTTTGAGCACTTTATCACAGAAAAATGAACTTTTCTCACAAAAAGGAATCGTCCAGAGGATCTGTCTTAACTTTGTTAAACTTTTAACACAGACTTACTCCAACCGAACATAACCAAACTGTACAAGTTAAACCAATGTAATGAACCCTGTCATAGTGGTTTCAGAATAGAGGACACTGATTTCAATAAAGATCATGTGTTTCAACAATTGGATCGTCTTAAATTTGGTAAAAACTGTATTTAATCCTGTCATTATTTTCAGATTTGTTCAAACACAACAGGATTCTTATGTGTAGAAAAACACAACTCCAAAATAGTAATATTTGTCTTTGTTCAGAATGATCTACAAACCGGATTCCAAAAAAGTTGGGACACTAAACAAATTGTGAATAAAAATTGAATGCAATGATGTGGAGATGGCAAATGTCAATATTTTATTCGTAATATAACATAGATGACAGATCAAAAGTTTAATCTGAGTAAATGTAACATTTTAAAGGAAAAATATGTTGATTCAAAATTTCAGTGTCAACAAATCCCAAAAAAGTTGGGACAAGTAGCAATAAGTGGCTGGAAAAAGGAAATTGAGCATATAACGAACAGCTGGAAGACCAATTAACACTAATTAGGTTCATTGACAACATGACTGGGTATAAAAAGAGCATCTCAGAGTGTCAATGTCTCTCAGAAGCCAAGATGGTAAGAGGATCACCAATTCCACCATTGTTGCACAGAAAGATAGTGCAGCAATACCAGAATGGTGTTACCTAGCGTAAAATAGCAAAGATTTTTAAGTTATCATCATCAACCGTGCAGAACATCATCAAAAGATTCAGAGAATCTGGAACAATCGCTGTGCGTAAGGGTCAAGGCCGTAAAACTCTACTGGATGCTCGTGATCTCCGGGCCCTTAAACGTCACTGCACCTCAAACAGGAATGCCACTGTCAAGGAAATAACAGAATGGGCTCAGGAATACTTCCAGAAATCATTGACAGTGAACACAATCCACCGTGCCATCCGCCATTGCCAGCTGAAACTCTACAGTGCAAAGAGGAAGTCATTTCTAGGCAAGCTCCACAAGCTGACGTTTGCACTGAGCCAGGGGTCATTTAAAATGGAGTGTGGCAAAATGGAAGACTGTTCTGTGGTCAGATGAGTCACGATTTGAAGTTCTTTATGGAACACTGGGACGCCATGTCATCTGGACCAGATAGGACAAAGATAGCCGAAGTTGTTATCAACGCTCTGTTCAGAAGCCTGCATCACTGATGGTATGGGGTTGCATGAGTGCTTGTGGCATGGGCAGCTTGCATGTCTGGAAAGGCACCATTAATGCAGAGAACTATGTTCAGGTTCTAGAACAACATATGCTCCCATCTAGATGTCATCTCTTTCAGGGAAGACCCTGCATTTTTCAACACGATAATGCCAGACCACATTCTGCAGCAATCACAACATCATGGCTACGTAGGAGAAGGATCCAGGTACTGAAATGGCCAGCCTGCAGTCCAGATCTTTCACCTATAGAGAACATTTGGCGCATCATAAAGAGGAAGGTGTGACAAAGAAGGCCCGAGACGATTGAACAGTTAGAGGCCTGTATTGGACATGAATGGGAGAGCATTCCTATTTCTAAACTTGAGAAACTGGTCTCCTCTGTCCCCAGACGTCTGTTGAGTGTTGTAAGAAGAAGGGGGGATGCCACACAGTGGTAAAAATGGACTTGTCCCAACTTTTTTGGGATTTGTTGATGCCATGAAATTTGAAAACAACATATTTTTCCCTTAAAATGATACATTCTCTCAGTTTAAACTTTTGATCTGTGATTTGTGTTCTATTCTGAATAAAATATTAGATGTTGGCACCTCCACATCATTGCATTCAGCATGAAGTTTTTCATCACAATTTGTTTAGTGTCCCAACTTTTTTGGAATCCGGTTTGTAGTTGGCAAAACAACAATTTAAACATGTATTCCTGTTTATTACAGGCCCTGTACTGTAATAGTGGCTCTAACTAATAAACAGGATCCACCCTGTTTGTCCTTTCAGCCTCATCCGTGATTTGATCATTTTGGAATAGCTTCATTGTCTGACTGGAATAACCATGAGGAAGTCAGAGGTGAATTCACTACAGACCAGCAGAAATGCATGTTATGCATGTGAATGCGTGCTATTGAGACAAAGATTAAAGAGGGAGGTCAGCAGCCCATATCAAGATTCATTTATGCCAGGAAGGACTGATGACGCCACTGAAACCAACCTTTGAAATATTCAATGTGACCGGGAAAAATGGTTACACGTTATATTTCCATTAAAAAAAACAAAACAGTACAGCACGAGTCAACACATTTGACACACCTATTTTTTCACAATGAATGGGTGGATAAGTCAACTATAGTATAGTAGGTCATAAAATGTGCAAGGAGTTACAGTACTGACACAAGAATAAAATATTTTTCAAAAAACAGCACCTCATTTGGTTCATCATTGCTTACACTAACAGATGACTTCAATTACTTAACTTTCAGACCATATCACTCAACGTCAGCAATACATCAAACTACATAAATACGCTCGGTGGAGCAGTTGGTACAGCTGTTGCCTCTCAGTAAGAAGGTCACCAGATCAAATATCGGCCAGGGACCTTTCTGGGTGAAGTTTGCATGTTCTGTCTGTGCATGTGTGTGTTTACTCCAGATACTCCGGTTTCCTCCCACAGACCAAAAACACGCACGTTAGTCTGATTGTTAACTCTAACTTGTCCCTAGGTGTGAGTGACAGTGTGAATGGTTGTCTCATTTGTCTCTATATGGCCCTGTGATGGACTGGAGACCTGTCCAGGGTGTCCGCTGCCACTCATACAGTGATAATTGGACATGGGCACCAGTGACCCCCCCCCCCCCCCCCCGTGACCCAAAAAGGACGAAGTGGGTAAAAGATAATGGATGGATGGATAAATTAACACAAACTGTCTACATCAAGCAAATCTAAAACACAGATTAAAACAAGAAAGTGGTTTCAAAATTATACTAAAGAACACCTACATGTACCACTGACTATACACAGAGCATTGCTGTGTGGTTGAAAAACCCTACAATGCTTTGGCATCCACCACAGAAGTGGAATGGGACACTGGAAGAGCTGAAATATAATCTGGCTTCAGTCAACTAAGGACTTAAGCAGGTCTGGCTGCAGAGAACACACTTCAAAGTGCTGATCTTGTACATTCTTGTGTTTGATTGGCAGTAACAGAAAATCTAATGTAAAAGTAAAAATTAAAACCCTCTTGCATTGTTTTGTTAGATTTACCATTAATCCATATGAGCAGGACTACAGTCTGTAAACACGTCTGTATCTGTTCTTTTCAGTTAAAAAGCTTGAGACATACAATCCCCTGAATTGCCAATTTTGTATAAATCCCTTAAACTTTGACCTTGGCCATGTTATCCTGTACGTGCTTCCTTGTTCTGTTGAAGTGCGATACAGCAAAAAACACATGGGAAACAGGAAGACGAGCAACTGGATTCAAGGGTACATGCCAAATGAAACAATTCACAAAAAGGACATTTTTCCAGGGAGGACAGGAACGAAAACAGAAAGTTTGTATTCTCAGTCCAAGTGCTGTGGCTTCAAAGGTGAGACTGTTTGAAGCTGTCTGAGAAAAACCCATTAACCTTCTTTATCAGCCCCAGGAGACCAAGGTCAATGAAACAGTGCAAAAGACATTTGCACTGAACACGAATAGAGGAGCAATACAAATCCTTTATAAGAGTTGACACATTGTTAACACAGATAAAAACCAAAACACACTTGCACATGTTTATGTGTTTAACATTCAGTACACCTCCCATGGGAAGAATACAAACAAACAATCATTGTGTACTGGTATTGTACTCTTACCTGTATTTGAGATCATAAGAAAATCTGCTGCCAAGTATCTCCTTAAAGGCATTCTTGGTTTCATCTAACAAATTTTTGACAGCAGAGTCTCCCACAGCCAGTGCAACTATGCGGCCTTCTGGCAGGGAACGTAGGAGCTGGGTGAGCCAATGACTGTCGTTACGGGACTCGTGAGTGTCATAACGTCTGTCGAAGAGCAAAGCAGATGTGTCTTGGTCAAACACACGCAGGTTGATGCCCCGGCTGAAGTTCTTCTGGAAGGCATAACCCCCCGTGGAAAGCCCAGATGTTGGGATGCTTCGGGTTAGCAGTGACCAGGAAACTCTCTCAGTACCATGCAGCTCTAGAGTTCCCCCGCTTTTAACGCCAATAAATTTGCGGCCCAGGCCTGGAACCTCAGGGATAGCCTTGTTGTCTGAGCGGCCTATAAGGGCAATGGTTGCACGAGAACGGTAGCGGCATTTGGGTGACCCAATATGAAGGGCTCCGCCATCTTCTATGAGAATGTGATGAGTCCTTAAGGTTATGTTATTAGAAGCGTCAACACTGTCAGCAAAAACTACCTGACCTGAAAGAAATCAGAAGAAAACAAGGAGGGCTTGCTAAAAAATTTACAATTGACATACAACTGGTGAATGTAATTAAGACATTACATCTTGAAGTCTAAATCCACATCATTACAATTCAAAATACTAGTTAAATCAAATCCCATTTCCTACAGTTACCTCTACCCCATGGCTTTTAATTTGAAGTCATACAAAGTAGGAAAAAGACAAAGGAAGGCCAAAGAGGAGATATATGGATGCAGTTAGAGGACATGAAGGTAGTTGGAATGAGTACTAAGTGAGATGTAGGAGGATGAATGTAGGAGGAGGACTTGCAGTAGTGACCCCTAAAAATGGAACAGCTGAAAGAAGAAGAAAGAGTAGCATGCCACTATGTCCTTACATGACAAGTAAAAGAAGTTATCAAGCATACAAAAGCAAACTACAACAGATAAGGATGAATCAAACTAGATATTACAGTGGTTGTTAGGACAGAAAAATATGTTTAAAGAAATACAACTCTGTTTTTGCTTTTGATTTATGCCTGTTAGAGATATTGATAATAATATCAAATGTAAAATATCAGATCACAACAAACTAAGCATTACAAGAAATAAAGTTGTGATTTTTTTTGTGCAAGCCTAACTCATACCCCTTAGTTTAAAGCATGCCCCCCCCACCCCAAAAAAAAAACTTAAAAAAAAATGTTCTTCAAGGTTAAAAAGGCCCATCCTTTTGCCTTACACAACAAACAAAAAAATCAGACACAGTCCCCTTTGCAGAATGTACAAAACACACAGAAATAACAAATAAATAATAAATAAGACTAAAAGGTAATAGGAAGAAGTGAAATGGGATTTGGTCCTAATAACTTAATAACTACTGCATCTTAATATTCTTACCTCCTGATTGAATGGTAAGTGAATGAAATGTGGCAGAGGATTCCAGTCTAAACAAATGACCTCTCTTGACAACAACAGCTTTGTCTGGTTGGAGACCTGGATTCCAACTACTTAGAGATGGGTTGTGGTCTGGACAATTCTCTGTAAACATGATCCATCAGTGATATACTGGAAAGCCCAACAAGTACACAGAACTATATACAAGAACATTCACAAGGATTTGAGTTTATAATACCAACCATCTAGCACATTTCCACTTTTAAGACTGAGGACAAGTATGAGTGTAAAGAAGAATGCACCCAGTGACACTCCACAACAAATAAGAGTGTTCTTCCGTCGCTGGAGGTTCTGAGCGTGTTCCCTACGGTGGTTTTCTTCATTCAGGCTTAGTGTAATTTGTTGCTGCTGTGGTGGGCCGCGTGGTTTCAACGGTGGAGGCGGTGGAGCTTTGGAAGGTGGAGGTGAGCGGACAGGAGCCACCCGTCCCGGAACATAACCAGGACACCTTGTATGGTTGCCGTGAGTCGGAGCCACAAACACGGGAAAGCGGCTGGGACCATCGCTTGTCGGCATGGTATACTCGTCCGCTTACCTGAGGGGTGGGGAACGAAGGAGTGTAAGACAAGAAATTCAAAGGGGGGGGGGGGGGTCCCCCACAACTACATCAAGTCATAGATTGTTCAGATTTCTATTAATTCAAAATGTAAAAAAAAAAGTTACTTACAATGTGTTATGTGCATTTATAGTGCTTACGTACAGTACAAGATCATTTCTGTCTCTTCAAAGTTTCTACTCAACCAAAATAGTTCAATTTTTTTCCAGTCCGTTGATCAGATAGCTCAATATGCTTACATTACACAACATGTTTGAATAAAGTAGTGAATAAAGTGTCAAATGATGAAATGAAAGGGTGATTATGAAAAAAATCAGGCAGAGAAGGTCAAAGCAGAGGAAGAAGACAGTATGGGCGCATAAAGAATGAAAGAAAAAATAAACAGTAGGAGGCAAGGGAAGCAATGGAAATGATTCTGGGGGGGGGGGGGGGACAAGTAATTACCCACCAAGCAGCTTGGTTTGGGACCTCCAGGTAAATATCCTGGGACTGCATCTTAAAAAGACGATTCAGCTTTTCTTCCAAACGGAAAACTTATCCTCGACTGATTTGTATTGAGCAGCATGACTTCGGCTGCTCTTGTCAGCAATAACAAACAAGTTGAGAATAAATGGATCACAACATTCCTCAGACCAAAATACAGCCAAAACAGATGGCACCAATTACAGTAGGGAAGAAGGAGACGGCTTCAGCTCGAGCTCAAGTTTTTGCTCCGTTTATTACATAAATGGAGAAACCATCACAAAGTACCTAAGTCCATGAATACTGGATTTGGATTTATTTCCAGTGGACTCCCATAACTCTAAACTGACTTGAAGTCTTCATCCAGCTTATTGTGCTGACACTTTTCTAGTGTGGGTGAGCTTCCTGTTCATTTTGCTGAGGTGAGTTGGGTCTGTATGACTGCATAAACACAACCTAAGCCAGAATATGTGCACAACCCACATTGAAGGGTCAAATGGCAGTATCCAGGCAAACCCAATCATACAGGAAATGACAGCAGAGGGGGAAAAAAAAAGACCTGAAAAAGCATTTTCCTCATCAAACACCCAGAATGGCACAACTTGCTACTGTGTGTTTTATATAAACTTTCAAAAGAGAGCTGCCCATTTGAAGTGTTACTCGTCGAGACGTGGGAACGTGATACCAGTGCAGCAGTGCTCACACAAAGATACACACAACAATGCACCCTCAAGCTCACAATTTAGAAACATCTATTAACTTATACAATGGGCACTTTTGTGGAGGGTGGGAGGAACCGAAGCATATGGAGAAAACCTGTGTGAGCACATGGGGAACACAAAAACTCCCCAGCAAGTCTGAACTAGAGCTTCACTGTGAGACAGCAGTTTTATATATATATATATATATATATATATATATATATATATATATATATATATATATATTATTCCCAAAATGCAAAAAGTACAATAAATGCTCATAGCAGGCTGAGTTAAAGTGAATACACTTGCAAACTCAGAAGTTTTAGTTATGTCATTTGTCTATTAAAATTGCAACGTGCTAATATGTTTTATCATCTTAGAAAGGAGACATTACAACAACACTACCAGCCCGATCAAGAACTCACATCAGAGACTCTACTTCCTCAGGTGACTGAGTCTGGGAAGCTCAGTCCTCACCTCCTTCTACAGGTGTGAAGTGGAGAGCATCCTGTGCTCCAGCATCAACATGTGGCATGGAGGCTGCACAGCTGCAGAAAGAAAAGCTTTGCAGAGAGTGGTGAAGGCTGCACAGAAGACTGTTGGAGTCAGCCTCCCCACCATCACAGACATCTACATCTCCAGATGCAGGAAGAGGGCCACCTGCATCATGAAGGACCCCACTCACCCAGCACACACTTTTTGCCCCGATCCCCTCAGGAAGGAGGTTGAAGAGCATTACGTGTAGAACCACTAGACTGAGGAACAGCTTCTACCCTGAAGCTGTTAAGACTCATGAATCTCTAACTAGAATAATCACTATGAAAAATCACATCATGTTGCTGCTGATCTATTTCATGTCGCTGCTGATCTATTTCATGTTGCTGTGTTCATTCGTACTCATCTGCTCACACAGACTCATGTTCATGCTGCTGTTCGGCGTATTGTTTTTACACTACTAGTGCTTAGTGTATTTTTAGTTGATGTTTTTCTTAGTTCATATCTTAGATCTTATTACTGTTTTTCTTTTACATTTTAATCCTTTTGTTGGATGTAACTGGGACCCTGTGTACACAATTTTGTTCCACCGCATGAGCCACATGTCGTGCGAATGACAAATAAAGAAACTCGGACTCTGTAAGCTGCACAATATGAGAAAAACATGCAAATCCTAAATTACTGTTGAATCATGTTATGATATCAGTAGTGATAAACCACAGATTTCCTCGCTTGCCTTTTTAGGTTCTGCACTCATGACTAACATTTTCTTGTCTTTAGTACAAAGGAAGTGGTGATTTGCAAAAATATTTTCAAAATTTTGATTCATCACACCACAGAACAGTTTTCCACTTGGCCTCAGTGTTTCGTAGTGGTTATCACATGATGCTTCTTCTTTCAACGATGTGCCTCTAAGCAGCATGGCACAGCAAACTGTGTTTGCAGACAAGGATTTGTGAAGGTGTTCCTAAACCCATGCAGTGATGTCCAGAACAAAATCAGATCGGTGCTTCCTGAGAGCCTGAAGATCACAAGTATCTTGTACTTTGCACATACATTTCTCCTGATTCTTAAAATCTTTTTATGATATTAAAAACTGTTGATGTGGGGATGTGTCACAATTTTCACTTGAAGAACATTATTTTGAAATTATTCCACTTTGCTTAGACAGTTTTTTGCAGACTGGTGAACCTCGGTCCATCTTTACATTTGAGAGTTTCAACCTGTCTAAAATGTTTTTGTACCCACTTCTCTTCTTGCCCTGAAGCCAGTTACCGTAATCTTAAGTTACATAATCCTCCTCCAGATGTTTCTTAATCATACCACTTACATTTAAAGACGTTTGCTGCCCCCGTGTCAACTTTTTTGAAATGTGTAGCCGCCATCAAATTCAAAATGGCCTTAGTTTTTTCTTAGAAGTGGTATTAGTTTTAACATTTGATGCGTTTGCTATGTTCCGCTGTGAATAAATTAGGGGTTTATGAGATTTACAAATCATTGCATTCTGTTGTTTATTTATTTTACGCAACGTCCCATCTTTTTCAGAACTGGGAGTTGTAGTTAGCAGGTGCTCTCAGTACAAGTACCTTACAGAAAAATGGGTGTATTGTTGGAGGCAACCTGGTCATGCAACAGTGCCTCACAGTCAAAGAGGCACAAATGCATCATTTAGCCACTGAAAAACACTCAATGACCATTGTCTTGACAGGCCAATTAGTCATCACTTTTTCCAAGAGAAACAACAAACCTCTTCAACTAGTAAACAAAGCGATGCACAATGGAGGTGGGAAAACATGTTTTGGAAATTTTACAACTTGAATATTCCAAGACAAACTTGTAGTACTTTTATTATAGGATGGATACTTCACTTTTTCACAAAGGGATGCTGATGGTCCATTGTTTTGGATGGGCAGTATCTCTTGATAAGGGACGAGTCTAACTTCATGTAGCTATGTTTTAATTCTTCACAATAAAATGGAGCCAAACTAAATCCAAGAAATATGCTGTGTTGGATAAAAACCAGGGGATTCCACCCTCATCCAGTGTGTTGATCTTAAAGCTACTGAATATCAAACAGATGAGCAGGAGTGAGTCCAAGCGGGGCAGACAATCACACATTCCTCAGCTGTAATGTCTCCCTGGCCTCTTGTTGGACACTGGTTGCAGACAGTCCCTGATGTCTGCACTGTCAAGTCTCTACAACTGAACAGCTGGTCCAAGTTGAGCCACAACACGAGTTCAATCACGGATGCATTTTGTTATTTATGAGTCTATTATGGGCAATGCATGCGACACTTAGTCGCTGTTATAAAAATTAAAAAAACCGCTCTGTATTTAATGAGAGTGACTGGTTTCCGACATAACAGAAAATAGGAACTTTAAAGAAATGAAAGAACGCAACTACCTTAACTTGTAGTAACAGTTGGGACTTGTAGCAACAACTTGTGTAGCATTAGCTGCGACTCGTCTCAGCTTTAAACTTACAAATGCTGGTAAAGAAGCCCCCTCATGAGAAAACAATGGATCACCCGGTGAATCCTCTTCCACCCCCAACGGTTGACGGACCGACACGCAGTCAGTGTAAAGGTCCGGGCGGACCGCGAGCTCTGCCGTTGGTGAAGAGGCTCCTTGACCGCTCTGTCCATTCGCTCTCCGACGAGCCGTGAGGAAACCTCCACCCTGAGCTGGTGAGACCAACGAAGTCACCCAGACGAGCTTCTCTTGTCCCTTTATATTAACCTACTTTCTCCTCATGCGCCCTCTTCTTCCTCCGATGGGCTGCCGTCCGTCCGTCCGTCCGTCGGTCAGCCCTCCAACTCACCGAGACTAGAGTAGGCGTGGCTTGGCGCAGAAAGGAAGTGAGGATGCGTTCGCTGACTGTCGGAAAAATTATCAACAAAAAAAGCGCGGAGTGAAGACTCATCACGGAAATGTACGGCTATGTACGGAAATGTACGAGGGCCTGAAGCGGCCGATGGTTATTTAGCTTCCGGGCCTTGATGCGCTCAGCAAACAAAAATTTAGATTTGTCTCAATTTGTTTATATTTTGTGGGAAAAAGCTAGAGATGGGCAGAAAACTGGTACAGCAAATCTTGTCTTAAAATCTGTAAACATATAAAAACTCGAATATTTTTGAGCTGAGCAAGGCTCCTGACGATTCAGGATCCTAGCAGCACTTCTGATGTCTTCAAATAATAATGTTTAAAAAATCACTTGAACAAGAATAAAATGCACTTTTGTAAAATAATAATAATAATAAAATTAAATGAATTGCATTGTGAATGTTAAGCACGCAAGC